CGCTAATAATGCCAATATTGCTGCTTCTCTCATCGCTGTCGTTTGAAATTTGTTTCAACATCATCAGCTGCTTCTTTCTTTTATATAATTTTTCCAATTCTGAAAAAGCCAACATAATTGGTGCAAGAACCGATATGTTGTTAATACATATATATATATATATATTTTAATTTCCACTGTTCGTTTTTTTATATTGGTTTTGGCCAATGGTTCTATTGCCCATTGGTTTAGTTTAATGACCATAAGAAACAAGTTTCTTAAATTTCTATTTTGTTCTTCAAATTCTACGAATTGAATTAGCATATTCTAATATATTTCTTTCTCGTTGTGCTTTTTTGGCATTCAGTACCTTTTCTCAAAATTTCCACTGTTCGTATTGTTTTTTTTTAAGATTCTATTGTCAATTTGTTTGATGGCCATAAACATCTCTTTTCTTCTTTCAATTCTAGGAATTGGTTTATATTAATTTTAAAATAAGATTTTTTTTGTGTTTTGCCTGCAAGGGCGATTATCATTTAAATGGTTTTTATGTAAGTTTTTTTTTCTTTCATGTGGATCTTAATGATCCATGTTTTGTAATGACCATGAAAGCTAAGGGAAGAACCTACCTAACCGTCATTATGCGACGCATTTCGCCGTCGGTTAAGTGTCTTAATGGTTCAGAACGCTATGTGGTCTGGCAAGATTTATGTTGCTCTGGAAACCTAGGCTCGAATCCTAGCCGTGCTCAGCTGATTGGTTACGAAGGTTGCTCAAAAATGTGTATACCGTGCGAGCAATTATAGGTGTGTGGATTAATTATCCATATCTACAACAAAAGTTTGAATGTCAAAATTATGATTGTCAAAAAAAAATTAAAATTCTTAATCTCAATAGAAGTTTTAGCTGGGCTTGAAAACATTAAAAAAAAGAACAAGCTAATGCCCAGGCTTGGGTGGCGTAGGGGATGATAGATACCAAGCAACGGCTCTGATTTGCTTTAACATGGCGCAGTCCAGGCTTATCTTGGTCCCTCTTTCATCTCAATTTTGGACACTGACCTCCCCGCGGTGCCACCTGGGGAGCTATTATCATCACCCGATGAAATAGTGAGCTAATATGCGCCGCGAGTTCACCCATAAGAACTATAAAAAAATGGGTTGAGTCGTCGGGTTAGTTGCCCATTCTCGGAAAACCCAACGTACTATGAAAAAGCTAATAAAAAGAAACCTAACCACCCTAATGTTGACGACCTCCGCAAACGTATAAAGGACCACGATCTGCGAATCTGCACTTGGAATGTGCGAACGTTGTACAGAACAGGCGCAGTGTTCGCTTTAGCGGATATACTCAAGAAGTACAAAGCCGATATTATTGCCTTACAGGTAATGCGATGGAAAGGGACCGGAATAAGTCAATCAGACGATTACGTCCTGTATTATAGCTGCCATGAAACGAGACATAAATATGGCTGCGAATATATGGTTAACAGGAGAATAAAAGACCTTGTCTCCAGATTCATTCCATAGATGAGCGAATTGCTATAATCCGTATAAAAGTTCTTTTACATCAGTCTTATTTGCGCCCATGCTCCGACCGAAGAAAAAGATGAACAGACCAAAGACATATTTTATGAGCGCCTAGAAACAGCATATGACCGTTGCCCTGACCATGACATTAAAATTCTGCTAGGAGATTTTAATGCAAAAATCGGAAGGGAAAATATCTCCGTCGGAAAATTCAGCCTTCATGAAGAAACATCCGTTGAGTGACTTCGCGGCAGCAAAAAACATGGTAGTTAGCAGCACCAGATTCAAGCATCTCAATATACACAAGGCCACCTGGATCTCTCCTGATCAAGTAACGAGAAATCAAATTGATGAGGTCACAAAAGCAATTAATCGGCTCAAGAACAACAAAGCAGCAGGAGCCGATGGGTTACCAGCCGAACTATTCAAGGCTGGTGGTCAGATGCTGGTCACGAGTATGCACCAGCTGATTAGCACATTAGAAACACGGCCACCTCCCGCCAGACCAAACTCGCACTTTACAAGACGCTGATACTACCCGTGCTATTATATGGATCAAAAGCATGGGTACTTGCGCAAGCAGATGAGACAGCTCTTGGGGTGTTTGAGAGAAAAATACTCCGAAAGATCTACGGGCCGATCGGCGTCGAATGACCCACGAGCTTTACAATTTATACGCGGACATCGAGGCATAGGCAATATTCTTATCCTACCATAAAAGGGAAGTTGGGATATGTAGTTTCCCAACTTCCCTCATAGCTACACATTTCAAACTTTACGACAGTTATTTATATTGCCTATAAATCAAAGCTAGTGATGTACAATGAGAGTTTCGAAAACGCCATTGCCAAATGTGCACCAAAGCCGAAGCTGCCCCAGTCTCTCCTACTTTATAAAGTTCAACAATAAGAACTTATTTAGTCATTAAAGACTCCCTGCTTCAGCTCGTCTAAAAAGACTCCCTGCTTCAGCTCGCCAACAGCTTCTCTATAAAGACAAGGATATAAACCGAAAAAAAGTTAATTGTTTTGGAAACTTCCATCTCTGTTATGAACACATCTTAAATTTTGTTTCGGTCTGGCAACAACAACAGAAATTGTAGCCAATGTGCATGATATGGTATTAAATGTTCGACGAATAAAAGTTCGCGCAATTGCTAATACCATGGCCGCATCTCAATGATCGAGTCCATCTAATTTCGCATGAAGAACTACAGGTGATGTTCAACAATGCATAAGAATGAAAATTTCACAAGCTTGTTTGGATCGTTTTAAGCGAAATAAAATGGATTTTAAGCATCGTTTCATAACTGTTGATGAGACATGGATCCATCACTATACTCCAGAGACAAAAGAACAATCCAAACAATGGACTGAAGCTGCAGGAAGTGCACCAAAGAAGGCAAAAACAATGCAATCGGCTGGTAAGGTTATGGCAACGGTTTTTTGGGACTTCAAAGGTATTAATGAGGGCAAAACAACAAGTTCGGACTACTATTGCAACCTTTTGGATCAATTAAATGTACAAATTCGATAAAATGTCCTGGCTTACAACACAGAAAATTTAATTTTTCATCAAGACAACGCACCCGCGTACAAGAGTGTTTTAACAATGACTAAAATCAAGGAATCTACTCTAATTCAAGAATGTCCCTACAAAATTTCAAGTGAAAATATCAAGAACTCTTGAAGATATAGCCGATTTATTGTGTCAGCATCAAGTGACGACAAGAGTGATTCTCAAACTTAAAACGCATTTTTCTCGAAGCAGTGTTTTACGAATGGCGGGCACGATAACTCAAAAACTAATAATCCAATCGGTTCCAAATTTTTACACGTTTCTGTGGGAGTGTATAGCTTTCGTATGAACTAGGATAAAGCCAATCGGTGAAGATCTTTCTTATTCTTCAACTTAGTTTGTGGACAAAAATTAGCGATTTTCCAAAAAAAAGAAAAATCAAAGTTCCGTCATTTTGTTAATTGTTGTGCGTTGGAATTTTCGGATTCCGATGTTCCAGTGAGGAGTTATCATGTCCGTCATCAAAAATAAGGACTTTTCGTTTAACACCAAAAAAAAGTGATCTAGCATATTTTTTAACATTTATTTTTTATATTCCGTTCTCTAGGGCCTACCCCAAAACATATGTTCACATTGATAATTTTGGTAGAAAAATGTTTACCTTATGCGAACCCAAAATATGAAACTACAGTCATTTTTAGCGCTTTCTAGCATTTTTAAACAAAATCTAACCTTTTTATCAACAAAGTTTTGGCAACACTGATCATAAGCATTAGCATGAGTTAAACCAGAGCCACTATGTGGTGATGAGGCAGAGTCATGGCTATTTCTCCTGATAGATGTGGAAAATGTAGTCATCTACAGTTGCTGAAGCAGCTCCATTACCAAGTGTTACACCAGACCCACTGCCAAAACCATGAGCATTTTGAGTGAAATCGGATTCAATGCCATGGTTATTAGCAGATCCAATAACGGAAGCTAAGCGACTCTTGCCGCACCATTATCACTCAAAACATTTCATCCTTGAACGGATCCCATTTTATGATTGATAAAAACCATTTCCAATAAAAACCCCGTATATATTTTGTAATACCGGTAGTTGTAGTAGTAGTTGCTCCTTTTTAAAACAGTGTCGTAGCCAGAGGAAGTTCCTCGTATGATGGACATTGGTTGGGGTTAAATTATAGGTGGATTCAGAGCATTTGCAAAAATTGTCTCTTGTCATAGCTACAGCTGAAATATTGCTGTGAGCATCATGACTAGTTATAGATTCATAAGTAGAAGTAGGTCAAATTTGTACCTTTAACAGAAACAGTTCCAAGTGCATTACCACTGGCAGAAAATTGATCATGAGTTGCAAACGATCCAAAACGGTTCCGATTGTGGAACCATGAGAATTTCCATTATCACTTGTCGATTCTGCTAGAGATGATGAGCCCAAAGATGTGGCATATATAGGTTACTAAAGGATTTTCGCTGAAACTTGCAGATACTTTCGCTGAAGCATCACCTTGAACATATCCAGATCTCTTTGATGTTAAAGAACCATGGAGGATTATATTAGTCTAAGGGAAATTATTACCGAAATTAGTCGATGATGATTCAGATGAAGCGATAACATGGATTTTGGAGGTAGCAGAGCTATGAACATCACCAAATGCAACACCGTGATCTGAACGCGAATAATTTGAACATATTATTTCCCAAGCATTTTCAATATTTCTATGAGGACATGTAGTCTGGTATTTTGTTTTCTCCCCGTAACAATGTCATAGACCCCCTGTTTAAAAGTTTTGATCGATTTTAGGTATTTTAAATGTCCACCTCATGGTGAAGGGTATACAAATGTTCGACATAGCCAAACCTAATGAAATTTTTACATGTTTTAATTATATTTTTTATAAAACATTTATTAACGATATGAGGTACAGCATAGCCTATATATTAATCTAAGAATATTTTACAACAACGAATTTATCTACCAAAAAGTCCAAAACCACCAGAAAGGCCACCCAAATTTGCTGAGAGACCAAGACCATGGTTATTGGAGCCAGTAGATCCATGTATGTTAGCACCGCCAATGGAAGCCGAGAGGCCACCAATATTTAAACCAACATCAGCATTTTTTGAACCATGGCCGTTGGAGGCAATTGAAACCGATGGTCCACTGAAACCGGTTGAGGCACTGCCAACATTACTGGTGGTAATACTATAACCGCCATTTTTTGTGCCGAGAATGTTGGTTGGAAGATGACCAACTGAGAAATCACCACTGCTGGTGTAACCAACTTTGTGTGTAGAAGCACCGGAGGTAATTTTAACACCATTTGAAGCACCATAACCTCCATTGAGTCCAAGACCAGCATTCAATCCACCATGTGCTGCTGAACCAATATTACCAACTTTAGATCCAGAAGTATGAATAGTTGTCGTAGTATGACCCACAGATGCAGGAATGGATGCAATGCTTGGCGCCTTAACATCAAGGGAACCAACTGTAGTTTGGTCATTTGTGGATCCAACAGCTGTAGCAGAACCACCTACAGTAACCGCTCCATGAATTGATTTAGACCCAGTAGAGCCTTTGATGGCGCCGGAGGCGGATGCAGCATCATAACCACTATTAAGAGTTGTACCGGAACCACTGACAGTAATCGAACCACTACCATTGGCAACAACAGATCCTTGAGTAGAAGTAGATCCAACGTCGTGACCGACGGTCGAAGCTAGGCCAGATGCAATGCCACTGGCCAGAGAGGCAGATTCTAAAGCAGACACTAAATGCGATTCACTTTTGGTGTGAGAAGCTGTTGCTTTAACGGAGACGGATTTTGAGGTGGATGCAGCATCACTGGCAGAAATTGTCTCTTGAGAAGTCGATTCAGATTTTGCGCCTGCTACATTGATATTAGCACCATGATTGGCTGTCACTGAACCCAAAGCGGCACCATATTTGTTTCCATGAACATTTCCGCTAGGACCTTTGGAGCCAATACCTGTTAGGGCACCATTAACTGAACCAGATCCCATTGATGTCGACGAACCATGGACATTTACATTCGCCTAAACGAGAATCATAATTACACTGTGCTACAAAATAACAAAAAATTTTTTTTCAGGGGTTCTATTGTACCAATTCAGTTTAGTTGGAGTCCCTGGATCACGAAAATACCTTTGGTTTTTCTGGGTCACTTCGAAAATTAATTTTATAACGGTAAATATAGAGAAAAACGCGGTTTCATGGATTTTCCATTTGAAACTTAAATAACTTATTTACTTTATAACGGATTTATACTATTCTTTTTTTCTTTCGAAGAGTACAATTTTTCCTTTCAAACAAGATATATATTTGGTAAATCGGTTGAGGATTGGCTGAGTTACAGCGGTTGAAATGTGGGAAAATACGCATAAAATGACAAAATTTATTTTTCTTCGGACTGTACGATTAAATTATGATATCAAGCCATATAAGTTTTATTATATTACGGGGAAGAAAATTAAATTAGCTTTCGAAAATGATAAAAATCAAAAAAATCGGTTAAAAAATGAATGACTTATACACATTTTTGTATTGATTCTATGCATATTCTCTAAAGGAAATATGGGTCTATCTCGTTTCCTGTTACAAACCGTTATGTTTGCAACAGGCAAAGGGAAACGAGATAGACCCATATTTCCTTTAGAGAATATGCATAGAATCAATACAAAAATATGTATAAGTCATTCATTTTTTAACCGATTTTTTTGATTTTTATCATTTTCGAAAGCTAATTTAATTTTCTTCCCCGTAATATAATAAAACTTTTATGGCTTGATATCATAATTTAATCGTACAGTCCGAAGAAAAATAAATTTTGTCATTTTATGCGTATTTTTCCACATTTCAACCGCTGTAACTCAGCCAATCCTCAACCGATTTACGAAATATATATCTTGTTTGAAAGGAAAAATTGTACTCTTCGAAAGAAAAAAAGAATAGTATAAATCCGTTATAAAGTAAATAAGTTATTTAAGTTTCAAATGGAAAATCCATGAAACCGCGTTTTTCTCTATATTTACCGTTATAAAATTAATTTTCGAAGTGACCCAGAAAAACCAAAGGTATTTTCGTGGTCCAGGGACTTCAACTAAACAGAATTGGTACATTAGAACCCCTGAAAAATTTTCGTGTCGCACAGTGTTATAATCATAGCCAACTATTAAATCTGAGATGTGAACCTACATGAGTTGCCGATGCAGATCCAGATGAGGCACCATGAACTCCGGTAGCTGCGACAGCATGACCTGAACCGGATTTTATTCCAGTGGCAATTCCTTGAACGTTAGTGGTGGAGCTTGTGGAAACATGAGCAGAACCAACAGAACCGGTTCCGCGGACGCTATTTTGCACATTGCCGGTGGCTCCACCTTTACGATTACCAGAAATTCCACCGTGGTATGATCCACGGTTAGATCCTTTCTTGACTGTGGTGGCTACATGATAAGATCCAGAATAACTTCCTTTACTACCAGAGATTCCACCGTGGTAGGATCCATCGTTGCTTCCAACAGTGGAGACATGAGCATTTCCATTGACACCTGCGGATACTCCTGAAGATGATGAACCTGACCCGGCGCCATATTTGTTACCCTGAGCATTTATATTCGCCTAAACGAGAATAATAATTATAATTATTGTGAGCAAATTAATTTCTAATGGGAACTTACATGAGTAGCAGATGCAGAGCCAGATGAGGCGCCAATATGGGCATTGGATACAGCTGAACCATGAACTCCGCCAGCTGCGATAGCATGACCTGAAGCGGAATTAATTCCTGAAGCAATTCCGATGCCAGCAGAGCCCTTAGAACTTCCACTAATATCTTTGTTTCCGGCTGCAGCAATAGCTCCAACGCTTGCAGAGTCCTTAGAGCTGTGAGAAGTGCCAATATTTCCACTTACACCACCAAGACTAGCTCTGATACCAGCAGAGCCTTTATAACTTCCACTAACGCCTTTCTTTTCGGAAGTACCAGCAGTACCCTTAGAACTGTGAGAAATATCAATATTTCCACTTAACCCGCTGAGACTTGCTCCGATGCCAGCAGAGCCCTTAGAACTTCCACTAATATCTTTGTTTCCGGCTGCAGCAATATTACCGCTTAAACCACCGATATTAGCTCCAACGCCTGCAGAGTCCTTAGAGCTGTGAGAAGTGCCAATATTTCCACTTACACCACCAAGACTAGCTCCGATGCCAGCAGAGCCTTTATAACTTCCACTAATGTCTTTCTTTCCGGAAGTACCAGCAGTACCCTTAGAACTGTGAGAAATACCAATATTTCCACTTAACCCGCTGAGACTTGCTCCGATGCCAGCAGAGCCCTTAGAACTTCCACTAATATCTTTGTTTCCGGCTGCAGCAATATTACCGCTTAAACCACCAATATTAGCTTCAACGCCTGCAGAGTCCTTAGAGCTGTGAGAAGTGCCAATATTTCCACTTACACCACCAAGACTAGCTCCGATACCAGCAGAACCTTTATAACTTCCACTAATGCCTTTTTTTCCGGAAGTACCAGCAGTACCCTTAGAACTGTGAGAAATTCCAATATTTCCACTTAACCCGCTGAGACTTGCTCCGATGCCAGCAGAGCCCTTAGAACTTCCACTAATATCTTTGTTTCCGGCTGCAGCAATATACCGCTTCAATATTAGCTCCAACGCCTGCAGAGTCCTTAGAGCTGTGAGAAGTGCCAATATTTCCACTTACACCACCAAGACTAGCTCCGATGCCAGCAGAGCCTTTATAACTTCCACTAATGTCTTTCTTTCCGGAAGTACCAGCAGTACCCTTAGAACTGTGAGAAATACCAATATTTCCACTTAACCCGCTGAGACTTGCTCCGATGCCAGCAGAGCCCTTAGAACTTCCACTAATATCTTTGTTTCCGGCTGCAGCAATATTACCGCTTAAACCACCAATATTAGCTTCAACGCCTGCAGAGTCCTTAGAGCTGTGAGAAGTGCCAATATTTCCACTTACACCACCAAGACTAGCTCCGATGCCAGCAGAGCCTTTATAACTTCCACTAATATCCTTGTTTCCGGCTGCAGCAATAGCTCCAACGCCTGCAGAGTCCTTAGAGCTGTGAGAAGTGCCAATATTTCCACTTACACCACCAAGACTAGCTCCGATGCCAGCAGAGCCTTTATAACTTCCACTAATGTCTTTCTTTCCGGAAGTACCAGCAGTACCCTTAGAACTGTGAGAAATAGCAATATTTCCACCTAACCCGCTGAGACTTGCTCCGATGCCAGCAGAGCCCTTAGAACTTCCACTTATATCTTTGTTTCCGGCTGCAGCAATATTACCGCTTAAACCACCAATATTAGCTTCAACGCCTGCAGAGTCCTTTGAGCTGTGATAAGTGCCAATATTTCCACTTACACCACCAAGACTAGCTCCGATGGCAGCAGAGCCCTTAGAACTTCCACTAATATCTTTGTTTCCGGCTGCTGCAATAGTTCCAACGCGTACAGAATCCTTTGAGCTGTGCGAAGTGCCAATATTTCCACTTAGACCACCAAGACTAGCTCCGATGCCAGCAGAGCCCTTATAACTTCCACTAATGTCTTTCTTTCCGGAAGTACCAGCAGTACCCTTAGAACTGTGAGAAATACCAATATTTCCACCTAACCCGCTAAGACTTGCTCCGATGCCACCAGAGCCCTTAGAACTTCCACTAATATCTTTGTTTCCCGCTGCAGCGATATTACCGCTTAAACCACCAATATTAGCACCAACGCCAGCAGAGTCCTTAGAGCTGTAAGAAGTGCCAATATTTCCACTTAGACCACCAAGACTAGCTCCGATGCCAGAAGATCCCTTCGAACCGCCAATATTTAAACCAGCGTCGACACCTCCAAAATTTGCACCAATTCCAGCAGAGCCTTTTGATCCGCCAATGTTTCCACTTAAACCACCAAGATTAGCTCCAATTCCAGCAGAGCCCTTAGAACCGCTAAGACCTGCTGTGACACCAGATCCGAATAATCCCGCATTAGCAGTTCCAATTCCGCCAATATTTAAACCACCACCGAAACCTCCAAGATTGCTATTTAATCCAATACCGAAGGCTAAAGAAATTGAAAATCAATAATTTATTATTTATCAGGTTTTCAAACCCCCGGACTTACCATTCGTCAGAGCAACTGTGGTCGCTAATAATCCCAATATTGTTACTGCTCTCATCGCTGTCGTTTGAAATCTGTTTCAGAATCTTTAGCTGCTTCTTTCTTTTATAGAACTTCTCCAAAAGCTAACATTGGAGGTGCAAATACCGATAGGTTGTTAATATATTTTCATAATTCGCCCTGTTCGTATTTTTTATGCCCTTCATTTTATATTGGCTTAAAAAAACTAGTTTCGTTAATTTGTATTTTTTTCTTCCAATTCCACGAATTGAATTAGCATAGTTTTTAATCATCGTGTTTTTGTTTGGAGGAATTCACTACCTCTTTTTCATAATTTCCACCGTTCAATAGTTTTTTATATTGGCTTTTGTATAAAGATTCTACTTCCCATGTGTTAAGTGGCCATAAAAAAACTGGTTCTATATTTTTTTATTTTATTCTTTCTTCAAATTCTAGGAAGTGGAATATATGATTTATTTAAATTTTGCTTGTAACGGCTTTGATCATTAGCATAATTTTAATTTTATTTGTAATATCGATGTTTTGTAATAAAATTATAGCCAGGGGAAGAACCTACGCACCCGTCATTAAGCGAAGCGTTTCGCCGTCGGCTCATCATATTGATTAAGCGGTTCATCAGACATATTCGGCTATGTGTCTTTACAAAGGTCGTATGCTGATAACATGTTTTTTATATCGACTCTCTAAATTAATTGTTGAAAATTCTAATTAAAATTACTGTGACTTTTTGTCTATACTTTTTTCGGAAACTTCTTAGCCTATCAATGAAAGAGAATATTTAGTTTTTCAAAAACATTTTTATTTTTTAATATAATCTCCTGAAACTTCAATGCACTTAGTCCAACGCTTCGGTATTTTGGGGTTCTTGAGCACGGTTTTCAACTGAATTCGCTGTAATTTGGTATTTTGTAGTCGTATATGGTAACAAATCTCCCTACCAAAAATTATTAATATTCACCCTTTTAAGGTGAAGATATATACATGGTTCCTTTTGAGAATATGTGTAGAATCGCTTTTTAAGTCGATTTATGCATGTCCGTCCGTCTGTCTGTCCATGTTAAATTGTGAACAAAATACAGGTCGAAATTTGGCATAGGTCTCTTATTTGGCCCAAGGACGAACCCTATGAAATTTGAAAAAATCGGTTCAGATTTAGATATAGCTCCCATATATATTTTCGTCCGATTTAATGTAAATGGTGTACCAAAGTCCCTATATATGTTTCGATTTGCACGAAACTAAAAACAAAATTCAAGAAGCACTCTAAATATAGCTTCAAAATTTCTGCATCATTTGAAGATATATGCAAATAAATGTTCGAAAAACGATACATACGAGACGTACTCCTGATAATGTAGGCTTTTACTTTGGCACAAATGCAGTGAAATTAATGGGAAACCCCAAATGGAGAAAAAACATAAAATATTATGAAAAGTTCGCAACGACAATAAATCCAAAACTACTCCATTTTCCTTCTGTACTTAAATAATTCTGGTGTAATATAGGGGTGAACCTCCACTTCAGCTATATTAAACCAGTAAGGAAAGTAGTAAAGTCGGACGGGGCCGACCACTTTGAAGGACCATTAACATGAAATTAAACATGTCAATCTGCAACCTATACTAAATTTTGGTCAGACATAGAGCTGCTTCTTACAATGGGACAAAATTATGTAAATAAATTTAAAGAAAAATACCGAAATCTAAACCGATTTCATCGAAACTTCCCACATGTTAAGTTACACTTATTTCAGCATGTTTTTTTTGCATTCGTCCACATTTTGAGTTCTTCATTTACTTATAGGCTTAATTCAGTACGCTATGCCAAACTTCGAGCAAATCGAAGGATATATAGGGACTTTGGTGCACTATTTACATAAAATCGGACGAAAATCGGAGCTATATTTAAATCTGAACCGATTTTCACGAAATTTAACAAACATCGTTCTAGGCTTAATTTAGTACGCTGTACAAAATGACTATTTCCAGAGTGAAGATAAACGTCGCTCCTGCATAAATTTGAATTTAATTCACAGACGCAACTTAACTGTACTCCACATTATGTTGGCCTAAATTCACAATGATCGGCAACAAAATGCCGCACAAAAAGTAGTAATTTTCAACAGTTGACTAAGAGAAAATAAATAAACAAGAAAAGTTCACCAAAAATTAGAATCGGAGGAAATTTCAACCATTTGCCGGACCATAGAAGCTCTAACGGAAAGATATTTTGGTTAGAAGCAAATTTATTAAGCTAGGAAGCTATTTCCATTTATTTCCTGCTCCAAGATAAAATAAAATAACAAAGGCACATTAAAAATAAATAAAAATCAGAACTTATAAATTTATTTGAAATAAAAGTGGATTTTTGTTTGGATTGAGGGTTTTTATCTGTGTATGCTATGTGTAGTGCTCGTACAAAATGTCGTATGTACGAGATTGAAGTATAAAACTGGCGTATTCGATGAATATATGTTTTTATGTAAAAATAGCGCCATAAAATCAGCTCTGACGCCTCTAAGATGCGGTATCCACTTGTCCATCTTCTTAACCTTGCCAATCTCAGAAAGGTGTTTCAATATCGTTGTATGGTCAACTTTCATCCTGATAGCAAGTTCCCTCGTGGATACGACTGGATTCGCTTCCACTAGAGCCTTCAGGTCATCATTCTTCACAGACGTTAGATCCCCGTACTGAATTTTGACTCCTGTCGGACTGTACTAAGACTTCCGATAAAATATTAGGTTGGAGCGCATAAAATGTCGGATTCTTAAGTAATTGTATAGTTTATATGTCAGTGCGTGCGGTACCCACTTTTCCATCTTCTTAACGGTTTCTCAATATCATTGTATGGTCAACTTTCATCCTGATAGCAAGTTCCTTCGTGGATACGACTGGATTCGCTTCCACTAGAGCCTTCAGGTCATCATTCTTCACAGACGATTTGGGTCTTCCGCGCGGCTCATTTTGCAGTGAAAAGTCGTCAGTCCAAAATTATTCAAATAAACGTTGCACTTTCCTATTGTTAACCGTATTCTCCCCAAACGCTTGGTTTATGTTGCTTGCAGCTTTTGCAGCACTATTATCAAGTGTGTACTCATATAAGAAAATGACGCGAATGTCGGCAGAGTTCATATCGGCAAAAGTGAGACCTCCGAGAAAACTTATTTTGCTGAAATGAGTCTCTGGCAATGGACAATACGACTATGAATGAGATTATGCCAAAGACAAAAGTATAACGAAAACAGGGATACAAATGTCCGCATGTAAAAAGAATCCGATATTTCATACGCACCAACATAATACATTGTTGTGTCTAACACCATGTTGTGACCGCGACACAACCGCGATTAAAGCAGCAAAGAGAAGAAAACAAAATATATATTAGACTCAAGAAACAGGTAAGGGGTGGTAAAATTACTGACTACATTATAAAACTCCACGAAATTGACAAAAATACAAAGAAATCAAATTATTTCTGAGAAAAACAAAATTAAGAAAAAATTAAATATTCATGCAATACGAATTTTAAAAACTAAAAATTAAGCAATCGAAGAATCATGTTTTAATTTGAATTTTGTTTTAAGTTATTTATGTAGTATTTGTCCGTATTTAGTGTACTAGTATTAGTATGTTCAAGGATGTACATAAGAAGATTCAGAAATATCAGTGTCAAACTTGATTTTCGTCACCGTTCCCTTTTATTCATCTACAATAAAAGAACCCCAACTTAACATGCCAAGGATTAAGGATTATTAATGCCAGGGGTTTCACTAAAAAAAGCGTGAAAAAAGGATAATATAATAACTCATGTTTGTGTTTCAATGTAAATTTTAATATGCTGTGTTGATTTTTTGTTTCAAATTTGACAGTACGTTGTGAGTAAGTGTATGTGGAAAACGGAGCCCTTTAAAACTAAGTTAAGATTTAGGATAGGAATGGTCAAGGATGGGTGGGCAAAGTAGAGGAGCAATTTTCATCAAGCTCCTGAGTTATGTTGTAGGTTGTGTTGATATTCGTCTTTGTGTTGTTTAGTTTAGATCCAGTTTCCTTTTAGGTGTTCATTCCCTAGGTTTGATGGTGGCAGGTTTGAAAACCATCCCTAAATAACGCTTAGCTTCACATTTTTCGTTTTATTAGGTTGGGGAAAAAGAAATCCATCATCGAAGTTGACCTGCATACGTAATATTGCCCAGGAGCTAAAACTCGGCCATAAAACTGTTTTAAACCATTTACACAAAGCTGTATTCAAAAAGAAGTTCGATGTTTGGGTGCCACATCAATTAACAGAAAAAATAGGATGGATTGAATTTCCATCTGCTAAGCCTTGGCCAAACGGAATGAGATAGGCCCATTTCTTAAACGGATGGTGATTGGTGATGAGAAATGGATCACATACGATAACCCTGTGCGAAAACAATCGTGGTCAAAGAGTGGCGAAGCACCTCAAATGGTGGCCAAACCATGACTAACGGCCGGGAAGGTTCTGCTATATAATCGGTGGGACTGGAAGGGGAATATTTATTATGAGTTCTTTCAAACGCTAAATTCAGACAGTTAAGATACTGTCAAAAACAGAACCGTTTGAAGATAGCAATTGACCAGAAATGGGCAACAGAAGAGTCGCCAGAATCTTCGGAGCTTGGTTGGGAAGTTCTAATGCATCCGCCATACAGTCCGGACTTGGCACCAAGCTATTATTATCTTTTCCTTAAATTGCAAAATTTCTTTAATGATAAACCAGCGAGCGGAGCAGTATAGTCGGACGGGGCCGACCATACGATACCCTACACAACTACCACGGAGTTCTACCTTTCTAAGGAAGTTTATTCCGAGACATTTCGTGACATTTGCAGCCTCTTGCCCGATTAGAGGTCAACAGCACATCTTCCATACACTCACATATTTTCCGAATATTACTAATACATAGTACAGATCTTCTCATTACTTCTCCAGATTGACTTCAGCATGTGTTGTATGGTGATGATCGGTTTATAACTGTGGCCTATAGATCGATTCGAAAAATTGCAAAAAATTA